GCTGGTGATTTCTTTTTATGTGAGAAAGACATACGAGTTTCAAGTAGAGAGTGTTTGGGGCATTCTCCTCGTGCATCTACAGCCCATGGTTTAATTGGGTATTTTCTCTCCTCTTGAAGAAAATTCAGTCCAATTTTTTAACAGTTGACAAGTAGATGAATGTTTCCCTCTAAAACCCTCTCGTTGCTTTGAACCAGAGCCAAACACATCCCATGCATAAATCTGTTACTTTATTTCTTCTCCTTATGGAAACTTTCCAAGTAGATGTGGCCACTTGAAAGGTGCTGATACAATCAAAGTGTCAAACTCATTTCAATGGATTTTGTTTTACCCTAAAACAACATATCTACATTACCAGTTTGAGAATTTAAAGCTTATTCAGATAAAAGGCCTAATGAATATTAGCCCATGAGATTATAGCGGTAACTTGGCTACCTTACAATATTGTGCTGTAGGCAAACTTCAGCCAGGGGTGATACCTTAATGGACTCACAGCAAGAAACTGGACCAAAACCCCCAGGCTGTGGTAATCACGATAGTTCTAAATTTAAGCTTAGAGCAACATTCACTGTTTCTCTTATCTTAAAGTGAATTACATCAGGGAAGTCTTGAAACCAGACAGTATTTGATACAGAATTCTTGCCCTTACAGAGGGAGTAATAGTCACAGACTGATCAGGAGAGAGTTCTTGAAATGAGAGCCCAAGAAGAATTGTTCAGAAGAATTGCTGAATTTACAAGTCAGCCAACTTCTTTACCCATTCCTTTCTTCAGAGATCTTTTTCCCTTGCTTCTTTCAAAGTGCCAGAATTTTCTCGTGAAAACCCAGTTTCACTTACCTGTATTCATCTGACAAGTGTTATTTCTTCAGCCGTCTCCACTAGGCTGGGATCTGCGACATCCTACTTGCCAACCCTCCTCTCGGTCCTCTCTGATGATTGGCACCTCGACTCAGTGTCCAAAACAGGCCTTAGAGGGAGTACCTACTTTCACTGGGCCGTGTTTAATTCTGCACATTAGGCCTCAACAGCACAAACCAGGCTTCACACTGGACCCTTCGTTCTGGCCTGGTGGGTTTTCTGGGCCAGGAACCCCAGCCTCTCTGCCTCCTGTCTCCTTACCACCTGCCCATCTGAGAGGGGGGCCTCCAGCCCCTGCTCACCCCGGCTGAGTGTGTGAGGCTGGCCTGTGGGCTTCACTGGTAGCTGATAAAGTGGACCCTGCTTCTGCTCTACAAACCTCACTCTCTCTGCCACCACACCAGAGCATGCAGGTCACGGGGACACAGGAGGGTCTATCTCCCATTTTAGGTCTAAGCCACATTCTCCAACAGAATTTACCAGATGCAGGATTTACTAGACATCTGTCCAGGCAGTTAAGATGACACTCTGGTATCCACTGTGCTGGCAATTCTTATATGAACTCTTCCATCAGCCAAAACCTGGAAGGAGAAGGCAAATGGGGTGCATCAAACCCTATCTTGAGCCCCTAACACATTTGTGACACCATGCCTCAGATCTAACATGACAGACACCAAGAGATGAGATTTGAAACCAAAGCACCCACAATGAGATCAAGGCTCTTGCTGCAACCATGGCAGCCAATATGAGTAACTACACGACCCTGGACGGTTGGCCTTGACCAAGGTACCAGGTTACAGCTGCTTTTACTGTAGTATCAGCTGCAATGCCAGGCACAGCTTTGGCTAGAATCCTCAGGTGCCAAACAACTGCAATTAGACAAAAAGAAACAAACAACCCAATAACAATCATCCTAAGACTCAGGGGTAGCTTTTCTTTGGACCACACAATGAGCAGACAGAAATCTGCCCTTGGCAAAAACATAGATGGGAGATAAGCTCTCACGATGGCCTCAGACTTGAAAGGCAATGCTGCCTCCCGGGGACTTCTGAGTCCTGGTGGAGAGGGCAAGGCACTTGCTAGAACCAGATCACTCCAGATCAGGCTCTCCTCAAGCATGGGTGAGAACCACAACGGCTAGACCCAGCCGACCTCTAGCGTGGGAGCCTCTGGAGTAGATGCAGGGCCCCACTTTGGTTCTCAGGCTACTCGAGGGAATAGCAGCCGAGGCTGTAGAGCAGGAAGCGAGAGGCGCCTCAGCTCAGTGCTGTCTTGAGTCCCTGGACGGGAAACCACGTTTCCTCTCTCTCTGAATGGCAGGACCACTTACCCAAGTCAGAAACCTGGCTTTCATTTGCTCCCCAACACAACCCACATCCGAGTTTATCCCGTTCAGAGCTCCGTTAATGCTTGAGGTCAGGTGCTACTCTCTCACCTGGAAAAACGCACAAGCCTGAGTGACTGGTCTCTCTGCCCCGGCTGTGTCGGCAAAGCATCCCTCCCAGTGTGACCCTCCACAGCTTCAACTCGCAATGGCTCGCAATGGCTCTCAATGGCCTTTGACAGAAAACCCAAACACCTTCACAGAATCTCTCAAGCTGCATCTTGCCTTGGCTTCTGTGTTATTTAGCTGACTCTTGATTGGTCTTCAAATGTCAACTGAAGCACCATTTCCTCTAGCGTTCCCTGACACCGCCTCCCCAGCTTGTTAAGATGCTCTTCCTCGACACTCTCATCGTCCTTTCTTAAATCTGAGGCGCCAGTCACATTGTGCAATGGTGTTGGGTTACATGTCTACCTCTACCACCAGGGGAAAAGCTCCTTAAGTGCAGGGCCCACGCCTTTCATCTCTGGATTCACGATACTGGAAGATGGCTA